TCCTTCCTTCCTTCCTTCCTTCCTTCCTTCCTTCCTTCCTTCCTTCCTTCTGTTCAGTGGTTGTTAAGATCTGCAGTTCCTTGCTGTTCCTATCAGTTTGAGCGGATGTTTGACACTTGTCGAATCCCTGGAACGCTAACAGGTAGCTTTAATATTTTCCACATAAACCACCTCCATAATTATAATGTCTTTTTCTAAACCTTTCTTTTTTGTTAACATTTCATATTGGAGATTGAATTCAGTGACACAGATGCAAAGAATGTAATATGCGGCGGCACAAATGATTTATCAAATAATTTATCAATCCACCTATTTTTATTCTTATTTTTTTTACATCCTTGTACAAGATGGAGCAAAAACATAAACAAAGGTCAATCAGCCCATTCTCAGATAAATGTGAGGAGCTAAAGGAGATCTCACATCTGTGGGTATTTTTTAAGTGGGCAAAGACCACTTAAAGTAAACTAATGGAAGTTGCTGCTATCATCTTTTATTCTTTTAATAAACCATGTAATCTGCTATCATCTCAAGTTTATTTTACATATATGTCTATATATTAGGGGGCTTGTATGTATTTCCCTATGCAAATCTAGAGGAAACATTGATAACAAGCCCTGGAAAAATAAATAAATGTCAGATTAGCATGATCTTACCTGAAAATGTTTGGAAAAATCTGAGTACAAATTCATCATTTTAACAATACCCAAACTTTAAGAAATAATTTTTCAGAAATTATACTATGCCACATTGGTAGCAGTGATGTAGATACTTTCTATATCTTTCCGCCCCAGTCCCATGTTCTTTTAATACTTGGAAGGGTCTAGCACGCAGAGAGGGATCTACACAATATCTTATGATTGCCCAGAGACATGGGATCAGGTCTTTGTCTTCAGCTCAGCTACAGGTTTTCTGTTGAAACGGAAGTGAACATCATGGGTTCATTTTGTTTATCCTTATCCTTTTATGCTAATCTTACAATGAAATAATAAAGATTTACTTTTTAAACAAGTTTTGAATGCCTCAAAAAGGTAATTTGGCCCAGAGTATCACTAATCCACATTCATGCTTACTAGTTATGCTCTTTTCAACATTTTTATCTGTTTTGTTTTTTTTATACATTGTTTTCTTTGCAAAGGAAAAGGCTTTTATCCATTATTTGCCTTTGGTGTTAAGGAAGATTGTGCTTTATGATCAAAATTATTTAGATGAGTATAAGGATTTTTGGTAGGCTTAAATAGAAATGTAGGAAAACTTATGGAATAATGACTCCTGTTTACACTTCATTGTTGCAAATATGATGGGATTGAAACATTTGTTGTTTTGTTTTAGTAAAAATAGTTAGAAAAAGAGATCTTGTTGACTCTGGGGGGAGTGTGGGGCACAGCCTGCAGAGTTAGATTTAAATAAGTGTCAGAACTGAATTTTACACAGCACCTTCCTGTGTTGCTGTATCATTTTGTCCCTGAACTCCTATACTTTTTAATTGTATCCACTGTCCTCAGCATTGTCACGTTTTTTTACATTTAAGATTAGACAGAATTGTTTGGATGCTTGTTAACTTTAACAATTGTGAACAGCCCTTTAACATGTAGGACTTTTAAAAACATACTACGTATTTATTACATCTTAATAATCAGCCTTTTTAAGGATGCTTTGTGTTACCAGGTTTGTGTTTGGCGCACGGTCACCATTCATAATCTTTTATTTTTAATTCTTCAGAAGCTAAAGTAAATTTTAGTATTTGAGTATTTTTATATTTCACTGTAACTCTTCTTCAGCCTCTGTCTTTTTTCTCTTCTTCACAGACACTGTTCAACACTGGGAGGACAGCGACTACATTGTGGTGTACCACAAAGGTCGTTACTTCCGTCTCAGGGTGTACCAGGGGGGCAGGATCCTTTCTCCAAGGGAGATCGAGTTTCAGATCCAAAGGATCCTTGACGACACCACATCACCTTCCAAAGGAGAGGCCAAACTAGGCGCTCTTACAGCTGGAGAAAGGTGAGTTTGTTAAACCAAAGAGTCTGGAAATAGAACCACATTGATTGAATAATCTCACCTCTTATTTCGTTATATGTCACACAGAATCCCATGGGCTAAAGCCAGAGAGAAATATTTCAGCAGCGGGCTCAATAAACGCTCTTTGGACTGCATTGAGAAGGCTGCCTTCTTTGTCACCCTGGACGACGATGAGCAGGGAATGATGGCTGATAATACAGCAGAAGGTTTAGATCGCTACGCCAAGTCCTTGTTGCATGGAAACTGCTATGACAGGTACTTTCTAAAACCAACTTGGTGAACAGACAGTTGTTATAGTGACAGCGTCTTTTAAAGGAAAGGTGGAGGTTTCCTCAGTGTTCAGGTATTTATCGGTTCCTTGCAGATGGTTCGACAAATCATTTTCAGTCGTTTTCTACAAGAATGGAAAAAGCGGCATAAACGCAGAGCACTCCTGGGCAGATGCACCTGTAGTAGCACATGTATGGGAGGTAAGGAGTGTGGACTGTTGTTGTTTGACTCCAAGAAGAGACCAGTGGTTTACAATAGATCCTCTGTTTGCAGTACGTTCTTGCTACTGATAGTTTCCAGCTTGGTTACAACGCAGAAGGACACTGCAAAGGGGAGGTAGACTCTTCTCTGCCTCGACCACAGAAGCTTAACTGGGAAATTTCCTCAGAGGTTAGTTGTTCCTTCAAACATTTCTTTTCTAACAGATTTTATAATGATTAATGTGAAACATGGAATCAAGAATCACTTGGATGTGTTTTTTACTAATAGAGAAACCTGGGGAATTTATTCAAAAGTATTAAAAGAAAAAAATTCCATTGAATTGCAATAATTTTTGCATTATCGATTCTTTCAATATTGCAACTGAAAGTTAGGCAACTATATTTAGCAAATGATTGAATATTGATTTTATTTCCTTTCCCTAATAGTTTTTGGATTATTTTGGATCTTTAATAAACGGACTGTAGCTTGAACCATTTTTCTCATATTAAACATTATTTATGTAACTAATTCATGAATATATTTAGAACTCTATATGTACCACAGATTTTTTATTTGAAATTGAGTTTCTTTAGAAGTGTGCACCTTTTTTGGGGACACACTGACCTCAAATTTAACACCTGTGCTGAACAGTGATGCTGTCGGTCCAGCAGGTTGATCTCTGGGTCCAGTTTAGAGCACAGATCCAAGAGCAACTCTCTATGGAGTCTGGTCAGCCAATAAACCAGTCATCCACCTTGGTTTGAAAACATTGAACATCACTAAAAAAGCTTTGCCTCCTAATTCTCCCCTTTACAAAGTCTCTAACATAGTCACATCACCCCCAAGCTCCACTCTGCACTGGTTCTGTGTTGTACTGTCGTCTGTGTGGAGACTCCATTCTGTGTGTGCTTTATTTATGAGACCCCTGCTGCTTAAAAAAACAAACAAAAAACGTTTCTAGTCATTCAATGCACCATGACTAAGCTTGATTAAATGAGTGACAGCAGCTCTCTTGAGTGTAGACTCTGCTATAGAGGGAAATATGCATGATTTAATTACTTTTTTTTTTTTTGTATTTATTAAGCATAAATTGAGGAAACCTAAAATGTGTGTAAGATGTCAATTAAAAAGGAAGTGTGTTTTTGCAATCTCAACACAATTTTGATTAAAATTCTAAAATAACAACAAACTTTATGTGTTACAATTTGGTTCAAAAGGATCAGAATCAGCATTTAAAGGTTAAGAGATCCTAAAGACTGATAATCGTCCACAAAGATTTCTCATTGGTCCATTTCTAAATAATTCCAATTTATTCTGTAAAAACAGCAGAGATATGAAAGCCAGAGGGATGGCTGTAGGGGTCTGCCTCCTTTTCTCTGTTAACCGACTGTCCGTCTCTTGTCTCAGTGTGAGGAGCAGATCTCCCGCTCCTTAGCAGTGGCCCAGGCGCTGGCTGACGATGTGGACTTCCATGTTTTCTCCTTCCGAGAATTTGGCAAAGGAAAGATCAAGAAGTGTCGAGTCAGTCCTGATGCTTTTATACAGATGGCTCTTCAGCTGGCTTACTTCAGGGTGAGTCACTCATTGAAGGACAGCATTCACTTACAGACACACTCCTTCACTCTCTTAGGGACTCATTAAGTGGTTCTGTTGTTTAATGTTGTTAAAAACAACAATAAAGGTAAGAACTTATACCATGGTTGTATAAGTTAACAAAACATGTTGTGCCCCTGAAGCGGCTAAGAATCCACAGACTGTGACCATGAGTGGGAGCAGTGCTAGAGCTCAATCTGTCAGAGAAAATAAGTGATAAAAGTAATGGATGTGAGGTCATGACTATCTGAGAGTATTTTAGGTTGGCTGGTTAGTGTGCTTGAGATTCTCCATGGTTCCATGTTTGTTTTTCCATTTGTGGTTCTTGGTCTTAGAAATAGCTTATTAACCCTGAGGGACTTTGTTGCTACTGTGTTTTTTAATCATGGGCTGCATTTAAAATATTTACCATTATTCCTTCATGTTGTTAGACAGGCTCTATTTAAGTTATTTATAGATTATTTGAATCTGGCAGTAAATATTGGTTCATTACATTAAAATCGTAATTTAATAAGCGGAGCACTTATTTTTTCACACGGGGCCAGGATTATTTGGAAAAGTATCTTCTCTTTAATAACTAAAATCATCTTAAATGTGTATTTTGTATTTACTAAGGTTATTTTTGCGGTTTCATATAAAGTAGTGTTGGGCATTTGTTTTATTGTTTTGATAAATTTGTAGTAATGGTAACAATTTGATTTATTGTCTAAATGAAAATTTAGAATAAGTGATGATAAAAAAATAAAATTAAAAATAGGTCAATTGTGAACTTATTTATTCTTCTTTTATTTTCTTTCCATTAGGACATTGACATAGTTGAAGATTATGATTAAAAGTAGTTACTAAGGTATTTTTTGAGATATAAATCACACTTCTTTATGTAACTGGTGGCCTAAAGACGCCTATTTTTAATTTGTCTATATTTTTAGGAGTAGTGTTTTTGATTGTGGGTCTATATATTACAGAATTGCACTGCTTAAGGTGGCTGCTGTTTTTGTAGTAAAGAACTTAAGTTCTTCTGTTTGTAAAAAAAACTCCTAAAAATGCAGCATTTAATTTCTCTTTGGGATTAAAATGTACTTTTGAATTGGATGCAGTGGTACACATTCAAAGTTGCACTGTTTCCTAAAAACAGCTTTAAAGAATTGATACATTTTTACCGTTAACATATTATTATCACAACATACAGTATCACAAAATACCGTGATCAGATTTAAGGCGAAAAGCTCAAACGTTTTAGTGTGAGAGAAACCAAATGCAGAAAGAATTCATAAGCATGAAAATCCTGTAAAAGTAGAGCTTGTACATCTATATTAATAAATGTTTGTTTTTGTTTTTACTGCTTACAGGATCGAGGGACGTTTTGTTTGACATACGAAGCCTCCATGACCCGTCTGTTCAGGGAGGGCAGGACGGAGACTGTTCGCTCCTGCACCAGCGAGAGCAGTGCCTTTGTTCGAGCTCTACATGGTGGAGAGGTGAGGACATATCGCCGCTTTAAAATAAAGCTGCTTTCTACTGGGTCCTGTTTCCTCAAACATTTTCTTTGTTTGTCTTTTAACTCATTGAATTAGCCAGCAGACGTGTGCCGACGCTTGTTCCGTGCAGCGTCGGATAAACACCAACAGCTGTACCGAATGGCGATGACTGGAGCCGGGATTGATCGACACCTGTTCTGCCTCTACGTGGTTTCCAAATACCTCGGAGTAGAGTCTCCCTTTTTGAAAGAGGTGTCTTTTCAGTTTCCTTTTGTCATTTAACACATGCTGGATTGTATCTAAGCCCTAGACATGACTAAATGGTTGTGGCTTTGTGTGTGATTTAGGTTCTGTCTGAACCGTGGAGACTGTCTACAAGCCAGACTCCCGTCCAGCAGGCGGAGCTGTTTGACTTGGTTAACCACCCAGAGTACATATCCTGTGGAGGCGGCTTTGGACCAGTCAGTAGTCACTACTTTAACAGTTGCCTTTTTTGCTTATTTTTAGCAGTTTTCAGCACCTTGATTTGTTCTGATGTCTCTTCAAAAATTTCCAGTGAGGTGCACCCAAAGATATTTAATATTCACACTCTCTGGGTGTCTTGTATTTCATGATGTCAAGCTTTTGACTTTTGGTGCTCAACTAATGTGTCAGTAATGTATAAAACACAAATGCATTGATCATAATTGGGTTCTGTCTCTTGTTTTAGGTGGCTGACGATGGTTATGGAGTGTCCTACATGTTTTTAGCAGAAAACATGATGAATTTCCACATCTCATGTAAACATTCATGTTCTGACACTGTGAGTTAAACATTAAGTTGTTTTATTGACATCCAATAACTAGTCAGTGTTTATCTTAACGTGTTTGCTTATTGTTTCTTGTTGTTTAAAAATATTTATTCCTCTCAAGTTTTGAATGACTTTTATGTAAACGTTGTGCCAAAGATTTTAACTAAAGGATCTGCCTCCTATTGTGCTTTTACAAATTCTAGGAACCACTAGTAAACCTGAAGACTGAGAGCAAAGTGCTCATTTAGAAATATAAGGAACACTCTGGTCCCTGATATAAGATGGGGCTGAGTTATTTAGGGCTTTTATGTGAGAAGGAGGATTTTAAATTCTATGCTTGATTTAACAGGAAAATGAAGAGAAACTAAAAAAGGAGAAACATGATCTCCCTTTTTAATTTCATCAGAACTCTGGCTGCAGCTTTTTGGATCAGCTTAAGGCTTTTAATCACAGTTTGTGGACTTCCTGATAGTAAAGAATTACAATAGTCCAGCCTTGAAGTAACAAATGCATGGACTAGTTTCTCAGCATCACCCCAGTACAGGATATTGCTAATATTTGCAATATTTTGGTGATGAAAGAAGGAAGTTCTAGAGAAACTATATTTATGTGAGCTTTAAATAAAAATAAAGAAAATAACACAGTTTCTTAACTTTATCTGAGATCAATTTAATCCCATCCAAGTGAAGTAACTGACTAATCAGCTTCTTTTTCAAAGACTGGTCCAAAGACAACAATGTCTGTTTTATCTGCATTCAGAAGCAGAAAGTTAAGTCATTAATAATATAATTTATCATGTATATATACTAAAGAGAATTAGCACTAGATCTGATCCCTGTTGTACTCTACAGGTAACCCTGGAACATAAGGATGATTTATCATTATCGTGAAAATCTGAAATTGGTCAGATAAATACGATTTAAACCAGTCTAGAGCTGTTCCTTTAATTCATACAAAATATTCAAGTCTTTCTAAAAGAATATTACCATCAACTATGTCAAATGCAGCACCGAGACAAGACAAGTACAGATACAAGGCCATTATCTGAGGCCATGGTAACTGTGTCTACAATGTTTTGACTCAGATGCTGAATGCAGATCCATTTTCTGTTTGACTTCATCACATTTAATCATGCAAAAATTAGACATTATTTTAGTACGATAGAATGTAAAAAGTTTCAAGAGGTGTGAATACTTTTGCAGAACTCCAAATGGCTATTAGAGGAAAGCATTCAGTGTTTATCTTTCCTTTCCAGTGAAAAGTTTAACCACTGCTCCTTGCTGTCTCCCCTAAAGGATGCCCATCGCTTTGGTAACCAGATCAAGGTAGCCCTGCGTGATCTTCTAAATCTGCTGGATCCCCTCTCAAAGGAGCCCAGCAAGAAGGAAGAGAGCAAAGCTGAGGTCAAAAAAGAGAAGTAGATTCTTTATTTGAAGTAAAGATGCTGGGAAACAGATTGCAGGTATTTCTTCACACACTGAGGGGCCTAAACTGTCAGGTGGATGTTTTCTGTTTTTCTCGTTTAAAGGGTCTCTTTGGGAACAGTATAATAATGCAGATAGTTTTGATTGAGGTAGCTATAAATGTGTGTGAGTTAAAAATGAAAAGGTCCAGAGAGAACTAAGTGGGGAACTAGTTGAATTTTACCAGGTAAACAAAATAAAGCTGTATAATCCTTTGTATTGTGATGTTGGGTCATTATAAAAAAAAGGCCAGTATGCTTATCCGCACCCCTCCAGCGTTGGGATAAAACATCCTGACGTGACTCAACTGCAGGGACTGATTTTATTTCATCTTCTAATAAAGTAAGTTTTTATTTTGTCGATTTTTACCACTAACTTTCTTGGTAGACTGTCTGGAGTATGTAAGAAATATTGACTGTAAGGTTTTAAGATTTTAAGGAAAAATGTGCAGAACCATTAAGGTGATTTCATTTTCTACCATCTGAATGAAGAGTGGGAGCCTGTGTTTTCAAAAAAGCACAGAGGTCTGTGACTCCTGTGTTTATAAATCAGCTTTTTATAAATATATAAAGTTCCTGATAGTGAGGCTGTGGTGATTACCAGGCGGGTTATTGATGTATTTCATTTGCACACTTCTCTTATATTCACTGGTGTTTTTATTTCTGTCTTTTTACATTTGTGTTAAATTAGTGCCATAACAATGCAAGCTATATTTATGAGTACATTGTTACATCACTCTGCAGTGCTGCTGGTCAGATGTCCATCAGAAATTAAATATGTCGCCAGAGACACAAATTCCTGTTCATTTGTTTGTTTTCTGCCTAACAAATCACTTTGTCATATTTTATTTTGGCTATTGTAATGCCTTTCAATGCAACACTATAAGGGAACAATAAAATATTGATTAAAAAAAAAGTTGGACTTTTTTTTCTGTTATCATTTGCTTTTGTGATATGCAAAACTGTAAAACATGATGGAGGAAGCATCATGCTGTGGAGATGCTTCTCTTTCGCAGGGACGACAACGCTGGGCCTGCAAAACACCTGAGAGGGAGTCAGACTACTGGCGGGAAATTGTCTTTTAAGATGTAATGAAACTTTTTTAGAAACAGTTTGTTGAATTGTTTAAAATAGCAACCTAATAAAATATTTAACAAATTTATTAAGAATCTAGAAAACCTGTTTAGGAAACACTGCAATGAGCATTTTTTTCCCTCAGAAACCTAAACATTTGACCTCCTTTGTAGATTGATATTTATTATTCAGTTTTCCTCTGACCCACTGTTTCTAGGAAGTGTTTCACATCTTAGAATCTTTGAACTGGCTGATCAGACCACTGTGTTTTATATTTCATTGCTATTCTTAGTTCTTGGTTCCTGCTCAGGAGTTTTGATACTTCCTCTTTTTTTTCTCACAATTAATCTAGTAAGTCCACACTATTCATAGTGGGAGTGGCGGCCTAGTGGTTAGCGCATAGAGCTTGGAATCCTGAGGTTGTGAGTTTGAGCCCCACTCCCACAGACTGCCACTCTGGGTCTCTGAGCATAACCCTTAACCCCTGACTGCTCCCAAAGGGGATGGGTCAGATGCAGAGGTAAATTATCCAATGTGAGGTCAATAAAGTTCAATTTTTATTAATGTGTTGTTGGTCTGAACCAGGAGATTTCTTGATAATTTTTTGGTGGGCGGGTTTATGTTTGAATTTTCATTTACAGGGCTTTTCCTCCTTAGCTTGAGCTACATAACTGAATGTTTAGATGCATCTAAACTGATCCATGTTCCCTGGTATGTAATCAAAAGCCCAGATGGCACAGTATTAAAGAGATTTGCATGATGCCTGAACCACACTGCTGTGAGTACAGTGACTTGAACTATGTCTTTAAGGGTCGTCTGACAAAAGGTCTGAAGAAACTCTCACTTTAATTACTTCGAAAATTATGCATTGTTTCTTTTTAGGCCACATCTTATCTTCCATTATTTGCTTTGGCTCCACAGTTTTGTAATCCTTACAGCCCTTGTGAATATCTCTAAATATTCTCTGATACTTTCAGGAGAGCCTTTCTTGGATCCATCTTATTGTTTTCGCATTGTGGGTAATTTTAAATCATTTTGTTTTCTTTTAATTAGTTTTTCTCTGTGAGGGATACACATTTTACCAGTTTGTTTACACATTGAAAAGCCTTACTGATTAAACTCCACACTACTGCTCTCTGGAACAAACGTTCTTAATGATTCACTTACACGAAGTGTAAATTGGTTTTCTACTTTAGACTTCTTTATTCTTTATTTGTCATTTTGTATGCACAGGGTGCATACAGAACGAAATTGCGTTACATACAGCTTATGAACGTTGCATTGATATTTCAAAATATATATATATATATACTGCTCTACTACATCTGCTTTTATTTTATCTTCCAAGTTGAAATGTACAACCATTTCCAATTATCAAACTCTTATTTATTTATATATATATATATATATATATATATATATATATATATATATATATATATATATATATATATGAAAGCAATGCTTTCCTTGTTATATACATTATTCAGAGATCCTTGTCATAATGCTTCCCACCCAACCCAACTGTCCTCCAGAGTCCTTCCCAGCCCCTTTGGATCGCCTGTAGTGTCCTCTTTGCACCCTCAGATGATATTAAATCCATTTGTCTCAGCTCTGACCACCTGTCTTTGTCTCTTAATACAAGATTGAAGCCAGCCATAAACCCTCCCCTCATTATCCGTCCTGGCAGACATCATATCATGCTTCAAAAGCCTGCAGTGATCCACATCCAGACCATATCCAATCTTTTCCGAATTAAGGGTTGGATTTACAAATGTTTGTCATAATAGTTTTTGGAGGACCAATGCCTGTCTGTCCCTTTAAACCAACTGTCAGCTGTATCCTTTCATTTGTTCAATGATCAAAGATGTCCAACCAGGGGGAGGGGGGGTCTAGGCAGGTTCAAACATCCTCTATGATGTTCCCAAAGGATCCCCTTTATAAAGCTGTTTTCCTCCTGACTTCCTGCTCTTCTCATCGTGATCAGTGAAGAACATCCCTTGCTGCCCAGGTATGTGCTTTTATCCTCATTTGATCTCCTGCCAAGGTGGTTTATTTTAAAACTCTTACCATAATTTTTTTGTTTTTTTCAGCTGCATCTGCAGTATTCTAAAATATAAAAACACCTAGAAAGGGTTTAAAAATGTGTTTTTGCTTCTTTTTTTTAACTCGGGCTAACATTTCTGTATTTCATAGTCAGAAATGCTTTACTGTCACAATATAAATACACACTTTTATTAAAAACTACTTTTATTTATAAAAGTGTATACAAAAAGTACTAATTTCTCATAGTCTGTTTTTTATATTCAAACAACTTGCTTAAAAGTTTAGACAGTTTATGTATCTGTTTAGAATTGAACTAAAACTAAAACGGCTTAAAATATTTGAAGTGCATGATGAACCGAGCCATGTTCCTCTGTGATACATTTAGGCCACAATCGCATGTTCTTCTTATCAAATTGAATGTTGATGAAAGCATTTTATAGCTCTGATATTAAACATGATAATCATCAGACTAACACGTTTATTTTTGGTGCCCTGGACACACAGTCCATCTGTCCTGTTCTGCATGACTCTTTTAGTCCGTTTAGTCTGCAGCGAAGCCACAATGTCACAAATTCCTCTCCAAATCCTTCATCATGGAGCTGTTTAATGAGATTCACATGCTCTGAAAATCTGATGGTGGATATGAAGGACAGTCTATGATCTAAGTAAAGACGGTGTGAATGGAGAGTGTTTTTTTTTTAGTCTAACCAGCTAAAATGAGAACTGTGTATAGATGGCATAAGCTGCAATTATTGATAGATTGATCTCACAGTGGAGAAATTCACTTGTCTCATTGGCTCAATAGTCAAGGTGCCAAGAAAGAAGGTGCGAAAAGGTGCTTTGGGGGATAGATACAATACATTGTGTCCACATATATATAGAAAACAGCTGAAATCTCATATTTAACAGGATTATCAGGATTATAACTCAGGTTATTAAATTGTATTTACAAAAATGGGTATCTATATATATAATTAATGCATTGGGTATTAGATGTATATAAAAAACAGGTTATTGCACAAGGTATTTAAATGGTGAATGCACATTAGTTATTGCACTTAGTTAAAAGTTTCTGTTAATTGAGGCCAAGTTTAGATGGAATGACAATAGAGACGTTGGGTATAAATAGCAACACCTAAATGCATAGTGTCTGCAACCCAAATTCTTTCTTCCAACAAGATTAAAGAAGAACAGCTGGTCTCTGAGTGCAGATGCTGCTCTTTCCTCTCAACCTCCTCCCTATACAGACTATTGGAGACAAAAAAACCTGTGTCTTTATTCTTACTGTTAAACTTGAGTTTACTTGTATATTTATATAAATCTAGATGTTTAGATACACTGTAAAAAAAAAAGAACGTGAACTTTAACTTATAATTACAATAAATCAGACTGAAGTGTTGCTGCTTTTGCTCAGTTAGGATTACTTTAGTTATTTTTGTACAGAATAATACATTTTTTTATTTTATTTTTTTTACCTTTCTCTATATTCAATAATTACATGTGGAGTTTAAAATGTCTCCTGATATCTTGGCTGAGTTGTTTAAGAAAGCAGTATGATACTGCCTTAAAACATATCCAGTCGTGCCTCCATTTAACTTAAATTTGAATCAACCCCTGAGAAGCTTCCAATGCAGTGATTTCATCTGAGCTGCTTAATAAAGGTGGTTGTAAATGCATTGTGATCTTGCCTCTGCATAAGTTCTGAATTTGAAGGAATTAAAAAAATGCTTTTACGGTTTCCACTCTAGTTGGCATTTAGGTGACAGAAATCAGTTTCTTTACCTTAACTGACCTGAAACAAGAAATGTTTGGGTTTCTTTTACGGTGTATTTAGTAAATGTATGGTTTCGGCTGTATGTGGGATAATTTCTCATATAGACACCAGAACCACTGAAGTCATGAGGCAATTCTGCATTTCTATTTCTGTTCCTTCCTATAACAATGCATAATATTTGTGTTTTTTTTCTGCAGCATCACTATGTCTTTTGTAGAAGAACACGGGTAAGCCAATGCAGTCCAGGTTTTAACATTTATATCAGTAGTGGCTCTTTTTAAATGCTTCTCTAAAATTTTTCCCACTCTGTTTTATTTATATCTAGAGGCCATCAGTACGGTGAGAACATTTGCTCATTAGATGATCAAATCTTTTCACATCTTTGCTCTCAGCTCCATCTTACTGCTGCTGTGTTTTCCTACAGATGAAGAGGAGGATCAAGGAGAGGGAGGTGAGCCTGGTTCTGTGATCACTGAGAAAATCAGAGGCTTATTATTATGAATCTATAGTTTGAGAAATTATGGTTGATGGATGAAAACATTTGATTCATTTTTTCTGCTGTTATTCTGGACAATATGTTAAAGAACGACCCAGATGCAGGTAAGAAAAGAGTTAATACTGCTGCCTCAACATTAAAACTTGAATATTCGATGTAAATTATGTTTTAATGTGTTGTAATATGTTTGCTCAGGCCTGTGGTCACACAGCTTGCAGCACCAAAGATCCCTGAAGGGGAGAGGGTTGATTTTGACGTACGTCCCTTCAATCATAAATCAAAACATCTTAATCCAAAAGGATCATATATAACCCATACTCTCCCTGCTGTTAGGACATTCACAGAAAAAGGATGGAGAAGGATCTCCTGGAGCTACAGACCCTGATTGATGTTCACTTTGAGCAGAGGAAGAAGGAAGAAGAGGAGCTGATTGGACTCAAAGACAGAATTGTAATGTTCCTCTGCTTTTTCTCCTATAATATAGGACTCCTCAGGATGCTTATGTTACTGATGTTGTTTTGTTTTCATTCATTTGTAAATGTAGGAGAGAAGGAGAGCAGAGAGAGCCGAGCAGCAGCGTGTCAGGGCTGAAAAAGAGCGGGACAGACAGACCCGGATTGCAGTAAACACAAAACTACATAAGTCTTTTATTTGACAATCTGCTCATTAGAGCAACACATCTGAGGATGACTCTTTTTAGGAAGAAAGACAGAGGAAAGAGGACGAGGAAGCAAAGAAAAGGGCAGATGATGAGGCCAAGAAGAAGAAGGTCCTCTCCAACATGGGGGCTCATTTTGGAGGTTTCCTTGCAAAGGTCAGTTTGAGATTTTAGTCACTTATTTCAGAAAATGAAACATTAATTAAACAAGGTGTAATGAAAACCCCCAAACATGTGGCCTCAGAAAAGTAGAATAAAACAAAAGGTTGGTGTTTTGGATCACGGTTCTACTGAAACATCTTAATTCTATGCACATTTCAACCATGTAGATTTAAATTTGAGAAGAATCTAAAGAATGTTGAGGTATCCCAAAGTATTTCATCCTCTTGCTGCAATGCACCAGTGCCAAGTGAGATGTACCCACAGCACGTTGCTCCCACCAACATGCTTTACACTTAACCATAGTGTTAACGGGTTGGAATGTTTCACCTTGATTTCCTTGAACATTCTTCTCTACATGCGCCCAAACAGCTCAATGTTGCTCCATCTGTCTTAAAACCTTTTCCTATTTAAGGTATTTAGTTTTTCAATGGCAGCAACTGTAAATATCAGTCATGTTGGGAATGTATTGATTGTGATATTGTGGAGTAGGGGCCTTTTTTTTTTTTTTTTTTNATTTTTTTATTTTATTTTTTTTACCTTTCTCTATATTCAATAATTACATGTGGAGTTTAAAATGTCTCCTGATATCTTGGCTGAGTTGTTTAAGAAAGCAGTATGATACTGCCTTAAAACATATCCAGTCGTGCCTCCATTTAACTTAAATTTGAATCAACCCCTGAGAAGCTTCCAATGCAGTGATTTCATCTGAGCTGCTTAATAAAGGTGGTTGTAAATGCATTGTGATCTTGCCTCTGCATAAGTTCTGAATTTGAAGGAATTAAAAAAATGCTTTTACGGTTTCCACTCTAGTTGGCATTTAGGTGACAGAAATCAGTTTCTTTACCTTAACTGACCTGAAACAAGAAATGTTTGGGTTTCTTTTACGGTGTATTTAGTAAATGTATGGTTTCGGCTGTATGTGGGATAATTTCTCATATAGACACCAGAACCACTGAAGTCATGAGGCAATTCTGCATTTCTATTTCTGTTCCTTCCTATAACAATGCATAATATTTGTGTTTTTTTTCTGCAGCATCACTATGTCTTTTGTAGAAGAACACGGGTAAGCCAATGCAGTCCAGGTTTTAACATTTATATCAGTAGTGGCTCTTTTTAAATGCTTCTCTAAAATTTTTCCCACTCTGTTTTATTTATATCTAGAGGCCATCAGTACGGTGAGAACATTTGCTCATTAGATGATCAAATCTTTTCACATCTTTGCTCTCAGCTCCATCTTACTGCTGCTGTGTTTTCCTACAGATGAAGAGGAGGATCAAGGAGAGGGAGGTGAGCCTGGTTCTGTGATCACTGAGAAAATCAGAGGCTTATTATTATGAATCTATAGTTTGAGAAATTATGGTTGATGGATGAAAACATTTGATTCATTTTTTCTGCTGTTATTCTGGACAATATGTTAAAGAACGACCCAGATGCAGGTAAGAAAAGAGTTAATACTGCTGCCTCAACATTAAAACTTGAATATTCGATGTAAATTATGTTTTAATGTGTTGTAATATGTTTGCTCAGGCCTGTGGTCACACAGCTTGCAGCACCAAAGATCCCTGAAGGGGAGAGGGTTGATTTTGACGTACGTCCCTTCAATCATAAATCAAAACATCTTAATCCAAAAGGATCATATATAACCCATACTCTCCCTGCTGTTAGGACATTCACAGAAAAAGGATGGAGAAGGATCTCCTGGAGCTACAGACCCTGATTGATGTTCACTTTGAGCAGAGGAAGAAGGAAGAAGAGGAGCTGATTGGACTCAAAGACAGAATTGTAATGTTCCTCTGCTTTTTCTCCTATAATATAGGACTCCTCAGGATGCTTATGTTACTGATGTTGTTTTGTTTTCATTCATTTGTAAATGTAGGAGAGAAGGAGAGCAGAGAGAGCCGAGCAGCAGCGTGTCAGGGCTGAAAAAGAGCGGGACAGACAGACCCGGATTGCAGTAAACACAAAACTACATAAGTCTTTTATTTGACAATCTGCTCATTAGAGCAACACATCTGAGGATGACTCTTTTTAGGAAGAAAGACAGAGGAAAGAGGATGAGGAAGCAAAGAAAAGGGCAGATGATGAGGCCAAGAAGAAGAAGGTCCTCTCCAACATGGGGGCTCATTTTGGAGGTTTCCTTGCAAAGGTCCGTTTGAGATTTTAGTCACTTACTTCACTTACTTCATTACACGTTGAGGTATCCCAAAGTGTTTCATCTTCTTCCTGCAATGGACCAGTACCACTAGCAAGTGAGATGGACCCTCAGCATCCCACCACCATACATTACAGTTAACAATAGTGTTATTGGTTTGAACGCCGCACCTTGAAATCTTTAACATTCTTCTCGTCATTGCGGCCTAACAGCTCAATGTTGCTTCATCTGTCCTTAAACATATTCCTACGGAAGATATTTGGCTTTTCGATGGAAACCGATATGAGTCCAGTGATTGATAAACTGTAGTTTGGATTGCATTACAGATGAAAGTAAAACATTTGTTTCCTGCAGGAAGAACAAAGAAGAGGCAAGAGACAAACGGCAAGGGAGATCAAGAAAAAGACTTTGGCAGAAAGACGCAAGCCACTGGGTACTGAGAACCTGAAGGAGGACGGTCTGAGGTCAGTAGTGAAATCAGGATTGGCGGGTCATTATTTTATTTTCAAATGTTTGAACAAATTAAGCCTGATATGTTATGGGGGGAAATTTAAAATGCAATCATTATAATGAATTGTTTGTCAGCTCAACATTATGTGTTTCAGGGAGAGAGCCAAGGAAATGTGGGAACGGATCTATCAGCTGGAGTCAGAGAAGTTTGACCTGACTGAAAAGATGAAGAGGCAGAAATATGAGGTAAATCTTCATCTAAACTCACCTTTAAGTTTGTTTCCATAAAAATAGCCAACTAGTCACACTTATCATTTCTTTCATTTTTTCAGATCACTGTCCTTCTGAACAGAATCCAACATGCTCAGAAGTTGTAAGTCTGTCATCTTTGTTACACTGATTTTTTTATTTATTATTATTTTTTTTTTTTTTGCAGTTTCTAAAATTTCAGTGGAGCATGCAATGATTTCAAACAGCATCAATGCATGAACTATGCAAATATATGACAGGTTTGCCTTCTAAACACAGGAAATCCTGATGTCGTTACTTATTCGAATACAGGAAGCAAACCTCTAAGAAATTTGCATAGCTTAAAGGTATACTGGAGGATTTTCGCAAATTTTTGAAAAGATCCACACTCTCGACTTAAAAAAAGAAAAAAAAAATGCACAACCCTGCACCTTCTTCCAAGAGGTGCAAAGCCTATTAAACCCGTGCGAGAGCATGCAAGAGCCCATTTCTCCATGTGCATGCTCTGTTTAAAGTTGCTGTTTGCATCACTCATACAAGCTTACTTTGCAAAAGGAGATTTGCATTTTTTCCACAATGTCAGACTCACCACCAGTAAGTGAAAATGGGGAGGAGCACATAGGACGGCCATATGTGAACATATCACCAGAATAATTGACAATTAGGAGGACCACTTATTTTATTAATCCACCTGGGAAAAGAACATCTTTGAATATACCTTTAAAGGAGCAGAGAACCTAACAGAATTACTTATTTTAAAAACCAACAATCGATGCTGTGAAATGTAAAAGATTGCTTAACATCTGGTTCACGTCTCTCTTGTCTTCTTGCAGCAAAAAGGGCCACGGGAAGGGAAAAGTTGGAGGGCGTTGGAAGTAAGACTTCCCGCAAACCAGTACTGGGGAGATATAACTCATCTTCAGGATATACCTGCAGTAATTTTGTCATATTCATATCTTCAACAGAGAAGTGCTAGTTTTCCTATAGTGTTTCCATCTAAAATCACTTATTTAAATGCATGGCTTAGTAAAATAAACTTCTTTGCACAGGAATATTTTCCCCCACATTTTGTATTCTGTGTTTGATAGCTATCTCTAACCAACCACTAAGGTTTGCTAACAAAGTTATGTCTGCATAAAACAGGGCTGTCCACAGTGTGAATCATCGCCGGTAGCATTAATTTGTTGAGCAAGCTCAGGCAGATACACAATAATACACAATCACTTACTGAAGTGAGGCCTTATAAATACAATGCAAAGAAATAGGTCTCTTCTGAAAAGCTGTTAAAATGTAAGGTGTGACACAAAAAAAATAGTGACTTATCAACCATGTTTTTAATTAAAAATGTATTTATAAGTAGATAGAAAAACATACAGGGACCTTTACTGAAGAACAGAGTTGGGAACGAAAAGATCAAGCATGTAGGTTGTTAGTTTGCAAGTGTATAATTTTTTATATTATTTTAAACTCATCTGCTTAAGAAGCTGAAATAAAACAGCTTTTGAAGAGAACTTTATTTACGGTAAATGGATGTGTTGGATAATTAAAAATGAGATAAGAGACGCTAAAACAGAATTAAGAGATGCTTTGAAGAAGCAGACCAAAAGTCTAAAAAATTATGTTTTGTAAAGCCTGTGGGGATTTTCAGTCATCCGGGTAATGGTAACTATAAAACAGGCTTCAATTGGAAGGCAAACGGAGTTTCGCTTTTATTTTTCTAAGAGGGGTTCTCCTAGATAAGCTCCGAAACCTCTCGAAAGATCAACACATGAGACGATCCTGGAAAAACTGAGAAAATGTTATAGAGTCAGAGTGTTACACAGATTTCCTCTGTAGGATTACTTTGGTTTAAATCCAAGCATGCATTAGTAAACACGATTTCAGGTTCATTGCATAAAAACATTATTTTCATAATTTAAGTATTAGCAACCACTAACCAGAAGTCTGGATGAGTGGAGCTGTAGCCAAAGTAATAATAAGAAAGGCCCTTCTAACAGTACAGTTAGTATAGATATTACAGCTCTGCAATATCTCTGTTTGCCCTAAGAAAAGTAAGGAAGTGTCAGCTGGAAAATCTCTCAACTGAAAAGAATCTGGTAAACAACTTAATGTTATTACATTCAAACCTTTTATTTCTTTCATAAACTACATATCATGCATATCTATTTTCTGTTTTTCTTTTAAAGAGTTGATGCTTTACAGCTATTCACACTATAAATCAGAGTACATACCAAACCTAAATGCAATCTAATTACAATTTTTAGTTCAAAGACCCTAGAAACATGCCTCTGGAGGTGTTGTGCTTCTGTCACAACTTTACAATTGTGTGGTTACAGCTGAACCAGTGAGAGCTGTCATGAAGCAAAACGTTTTCACTTCTTCTGCGGAACAAAAACTGCATAGACGTCATCGGCGGCGTGCTCACGCCAGGGTTCAAATCCCGCCTCTAGAGCCAAGCTCGCCACTTTCTCCACAAAGCCTGCTTCTTGTCTTTTGTTTAGATCCAAAATGTACCTGAAGCACACAATCACACACAAACTTCAATAAAAACCCTGCAATCACACATGTTATGAACTTTATACATAGTGTCAGTGAATAAGCAAAATCAAGCACAGATACATAGCAGTCACTGCACTTGTGACTGTAGAGTTACCATGGTAACAAGCCATGTTTCTATAAAAACCCTCACTTGGCCAGCTCCACGACAAGCACAGCGTCTGGTGCAGCAATCTGTCTCATCATGGGGCCCAACTGGTGCACGCAGCTTTACAGAAAGACAGAAATTAAACATACTCAGCAGTTAAATCTGCAGTCAGTGGACAATAGCAGGATAAAGATAGAGGGAGACTTATAAGGTTTAGATCAGGTCTAGGAAAAGGATACTGGTGGTAAATCCTCTCACTTGGCAGAGAAATATATTGTGTTGAAGTAATGGCAGTACTTCTGCTTCAATGGGAGCTTCTGAAGAGAGTCCAATGGCAGAAATGTTACAGAGACCCCACTGAGCTGCATCAAATCTGAGGAAGAATGAAGAAAATTAATTTTGACAATGACGTAAAATTAGTGGCTTTTCTAAATATAACAATATATATATTTTTTTTTTTTTAAGAATGGTCTGAGGAAGAGAAGTAACTGATCATTAAGGCTTGATAATAAAACAAGATAATTTCTTGTTAAAATGTCTTTTTACATGCAAATTCTGGTATCATTTTAGGGTAAACATTTCAGTTGTTGTAAATTGTCTATCAAAACCTTTAACCTGCTAAATGATTTTTACTGACTCAGTTTGGGAGTCTTCTCTGCGTCTGAATGAGCGGTGGTGAGGCAGCGCCCTCTGCTGGACAGAGACTGGAACAATCCCTGCATGTTAGAACAAGAGATATCCTGGGCTGTCTGTGCAGGGGAGAAAAGGAAAGGAAAAAAAACAAAACAACACATCGTCAACATAAGAGCACAATCATTAGAAACGTTATTTTATTTTGATTTAATGTGTGAAGTAAAAAAAAAAAATTATAATTATAGACAATAGGAAAGCTTTTCAAATTAAAGTGATGGATATGTCTTTGTATTCACTCTCATATATCAATTTGGTGTATTACAACTTTGTGAAACCAGTTTTCACAGCAATTACAACACAATATCTTTTTACCAGCCATTTCTTCACAAAACAACTTTCGGTTTTTCGGTTTTGGTCTAGACTTTGACTAGGACATGCTAAACTTAAATGCTTTTTGATTTAAATCACTATGTTGTAGCCTTGTGATTAGACATCTACCTACTGATAACTTCTTCCATGTGAATTTCTTTCTTTCATTAAATATTTATGATATGATTTATTTAATTTATGATAATCTACCTCTTTAGCTGGTAAATAGCATGTATTTATATAGTCAGTGCTTTATCAAATCTAAAGCTCTTTACATTACAATCAGTCATTCCTTCATTCATACACTGGTGGTGATAAGCTAAATTGTAGCCACAGCTGCCATGGGGCACACTAAGAGAAGCAAGGCTGTCGCACACAGGCACCACCAGGAGCTCTAACCATCGACAGCAGGAAAGGGGGGTGAAGTGTCATGTCTAAGTAGACAGTGAAGGAGACGTTTTCTCTCCCAGGTATGGAGGTAAAGTGACAAACTTTTAAATGTTTAAATGGTATGAATATTTCGTGTGTAACTAAATGTACATCAAATCAATATAACAGTTTGAAAGGCAATTAATGCAGCTCTATTTTACCTTGACGTGTTGCCTGTTCTGTGTTCTCAACAGGCTCTCGTCATCAGTTTCAATACCAAATGAGAGATAAGGGCTGGAAACAATGTCTCCCCAATAGCCTTGAAAGCCAACCTTGTCTCCCTTCTGCTGAGAAACAAGTGCAATAAAAAAAAAAGAAATTATTTTGATTATCATATTGCATATCGAAACTCTTTAGTTCATCAAAATAGATATGCACTCACATGATTAAAAACTCTTGTGGAGACTAAAGTGGGATTGGTTCTTTGGTAGACGCCTTCCCTCATTTCAAATGCCAATCCCTTTTCTCTCCACTGCATATACTGCTTGGTGCTTATGACTCCACACTACACGGACAAAAAAAAAATAACAACAAAACTCTGTATTTACTGAAACATAATATTTTCTGTAACAGTTATTTTGCAAAAAAAAAAAGATAAAGTGTGAAAATTCTACATCACCCCCTTCTCATGCAGCTTCATTTTAAGGTCCCAGTCAAAACATCCCTTCCTGGAGTCGTAACGCGTACCGAGATGCTGCCTGACACGATAATCCCAGGCTTTGGACATGACGACAGGAGAAGAACCTGAGGATGAAATTTGCTGGATCCACAGCTTGAATATCCTGGCCAGTTCATCTCGCTCCTTAAACTGTAGAAAGATTCAGTCAATCTTTAATCATTTGTAATTTTGCCTTCTGCTTTTAGCACCATAGTAAAAAGGTTTATTAGCCGGTTTTACCTTAAGAAATGTTGTGTTCAGGCAGGCGTGCATGGCATCCTCCACTGTTTCAGTAACGGAGAGAATGAGCTGTGATGCTGCTTGCCGCAGCGTCTCTTCAGTCTGACTGCGTATTTCAGCATTTCCAAAAAGCTCCAAGAAAACTTCTGTCTTCTCTGGAAAAACCCCCAAAAACGAATCGAAAAAGTTTTAGAAGCATGTTGCTTTTATAAAATGATAAATTCATCAAAGCAAAATGTACCGTTAATTCCCATCGTTTCCTTTGGTATAAGTGTAATGTAGAGAAGCAGCAGCTGCCGAGCCACGACTTCCATGCTTTGTTCCATCACCCATATCTACAGAACAGAGACCATGTGTAACTCTTGCTGCATTTACCCACCACTTGTCTGTGTTTAAAGACAGAAATTAAATTACTGCTCACATGAAGTTTTTGTTTTGCTGAAGAATCTGCAATAGTCTTCAGAATATGTCTTGGATCCCCACTGCCAACTAACAGTACATTTATTTCTCCTTCAGACTTCTCTGGACCTGGACACAAACATCACATATAACACTTTTCAGCATCCAGTACTAAACACAAAGGTCATCATGTTTATCTATTTATAAAAATGGCCAAAACACAGCGACATGGTATTTTGTCCACATGCCTTTTCCAATGGGGCTTTAAAATTCCTAAAACATGTTTCAAAATAATTTTTTACAAGTACTTTTTGTTTTATAGCTGTAAAAAAAATAAAATGAGATCTAAAATTCCACCTGACATGTAACTCTGCGAAGGTAAGGCAACAGCAGATATTTATCTGCACCCCCTAATGGAAACATCATTGGAAACTACAGTAGAGGCTCAAACCCTTCCAATGAGGGGTGAGAGCTAATTGTGCAACTATTTCAGGTGATGTGATCGCATACGTTACATAAGCTTGCTCTGTTATTCTTATTTTCTATGTAGTTTGGTGATATCATTGCTCTGTTATTCTTATTTTCTATTTAGTTTGGTGATATCTTAGGAGCAAAGGCTTTGCTTTTGCAGAAGGTCTCCAATTATGTAAATCAGCATGTTTGTCTGGCCAGATTCCCTTTTATGAGTGGCAAAATGCATTTTTTGCACTATGCCAAAAATCCCATTTCCACCTAGCACACTGCCAACTAAAACTTATTCAGTCCAAATTTGCTTGAGTTGTATTCAAGATGTGGATCTATAAAGTCTGAGGGTTCATCTAGAGTTTCATATGGGGTTTCAGTGTGTTTTGTTGTGTTTATTTTGAAAAAAAAATTTGGCGAGGCTAAATATTTTTCATTTTTTCTTTGTTTAATCACCTATAAATCAGACATGGTGACATTTAAAATAGTGATTCCATCTGAAAAGCATTCCTCAATGCCTTTCTATTATTAAAATACAAACAATTATATTTCCAGTTTATAGTTTTGGAGCTGTACTTGCTTTAATTCAAATATGTAATTTCAGGCAGACTTTGGTCCTGAGACCCTCTGTGCTTTAGAGGTTAAAATCTAACTAGGGTCTAGGGTCTAATTCCCTGTCCAAAAGAGATGGTAGGGCACAAAAGAGCTTTTAACAAAAAGCAACACAATGAGACAGTGTCTCTCGAACTACAGATCTCCTTCAGCACCAGAATGCTTCATCTAAGGTGCACAAAGGAGCATCCTCACAGATCCTTCCTCCCAGCAGCTATTAGACTTTATAGCCATTGCTCCCAACAAGTTCAATAAGCTGTTTACATACCTGCTGTTGTTCCGTTGTCTTTGTAGAGTGTTTTTTAAGTGCAAGCATTCGGGGGGTTTTGTATTATCAAGAAAATATGATCTTGAAAAGGAACATACAAAATTTTAATTTTACTCTGCTGTTAATGAATCTGAGGATATTTCTTTTAATAGATTCATTTTCTTCCTCATGTTTTAAATTTGCTCCTACTCTAATTGCTGTCATATATTACCTTTGGGATTCTGCATGCTTTCACTTGCTTTTCAATTTGCTGCTTGTTCAGCTGAATTTCCCTACTGAGGGACAATAATGGACTTTATTATGAGTTATTATTAACTCACAATTTTGCCTACACCATGTTAAACATACACATTGTCAATATATTCTAAATGTAAAATGTGTTTTCTAATGGCTTTGCCCTTTTGAAGTCCTTTGTGACGTATAGGTCTGTGAAAGGTGCTACAGAGGTGAAATTTCACTTGCCTACTTGCATTCAGTTAGCATAGGTGTTTTATAATGAGATGAATAAATATTTGACATGGGTAAAAAAAAAAAGGCAAAAACTGTTTAGACACAGTTATAATAAATTAGCATCCAGAACAGACTAAAGAATTTTTAAGAAATCCAGACTGTATGCTTATTGGAAAGGTGGGGTGAAGTTACAATAAGTATGTTTAAATAAATCATTGTTAGATTTTATTTTTAAAAGAAAAACATGGTTTCAGTTCTGGAGCTGATTGTTGCTCACAATTAAATTAATCAAAACTAATTTTACCAAAAGCCCAGAATAAGATTGTTCTTAAAACAGAACACATATTTATTGTACTCATAATTGTAGCCTTTTCGGGATATACTGGTAAAAATCAGCTTTGATCGTAAAGAAAAGCGTTTCAGTTTTCTGCATTAACACATCCAAGGTGTACCCTCATGACCTAAAACAGCATGATGCTGCAAGGTGGTATGCATGGATAGAGCTTTGATTCACATTTGAAAAATGGAAATCTTAAAGAGGTATAATTTCTGCCATAATTATATATTTATTATTTATTTGTATAATATGTGGGTAATCAGGATTGTTTTTTTTACTTCTGTTAATTATTGTATTGCTAAACGTCAATTAAAAACGTATTTAATTAGAATGCATTAAATATCAGCTGCTAATCCCTTCAGATTATTTTTTTAATAATTTGTAAAACATGACTGTGCGCTGACAAATATGAATTTTATTATTTTTATTGTTAATTTTTAGTTGCAAAGAAACCCCTAAAAAAATACCCAGTATTGTTGATTTGGGAGCCTTCTGATCCACTAATTGGCTGGCGCGTGCCGCTTTAAACCAATCGGAAACGCACGTGCAGTTTATGATCCAAATATGAAAACATCTGCAGCTTCTTACCAAAACTGAGCAAATTTCTGGCTGGACTGAAGCCCCACCAGGTAATACAACCGGCTCCTTCAGACACCCGACCCGCACTCATCCTGTAATCTGAACAGAAACAGGGAAACATCAGTCCTTATGTTTGGGCTTCACCAAGAGCCCGAACATGTTGCTCTTCAGTCGATGTTACTTTGCTACCAATAACGCAGACAAAACATATACTTCAGTTTTAGGCTAGAAATGACAGGTTTCAAAAGAGCGATAAAGTCCGCAAAAGATAGGTTAAACACTAACCTCATGCAAGGTGGATAAACAGCAGCGGGGATGTTGAAATCCTGGCAAAAAGTTTGAGTTCAGTTGCTAGGCAACGCTGTCCATAGTAGGGAGCCACCTAGCGGTGAGATGGTGAATCACTGTTAGGAGAGCCCCATCCGAAGGCTGAAGGGAGGGGGCCTCAGTAGATACATATATAGAGGCCACGTTCTCCATTCAGCCTGATTTTGCAGTCAACAAATCACAAATTAAATTTTACAGCCTGGAAATATTTGAATTAGTTGGTCTATGTTAATACACTACATCTATATTTGTGCTCTATTTTATCCAATTTCTGCAAATCACATTGCAATCTATCTGTTAAAGGTGCTATAAATAGTTTATTTACTTATTTGGCAATACATTACAGTAGTCTCAAGAAATATTTTAATTTGAATATATAATTCTTTGTTATTGTTCAATTTCCCCTATTATTTTATTAGGCTTTCCTGAAAGAAAACACAGGTTAAAAATAATCAGACTGGATAATTACATTTTTTTTCATCCTACTTTTAAGGATACATTTTTGGTTATGGTAATATCATTTTTGTGTCATATCTGTATGTCCTAGATGAAGCCACTATACCTCCATCATACTCTTTCCTTAACTAAGAACCTACTATAGGTCTTTCCTGCTTTGTTTATTTTTTGTAATATTGTTCAGTCTCCCAATATCCAAGTCAGTCGGGGCATATGGCCATTCTCATTGAGTCTTCCTGTCAAAGGGGAATTTTACTTCCCACTGTTGCTACATGCATGATCAGTATGAGGCATTGCTGGGAAGTCAATGGTCTTCTGTCACTTTATGCTCTTCCAGGAGGATAGATATTTTTAAAGTCATGGACTTTGTACAATCTGTGGGGTTTACTTTTAAAGAGATGAGATGCTTTCCAGTTTGATAATTAGTATTGAATTTGAATTTATTTAACTTTGTATCATAGGATTGAATAGAATTGCTTGTTTTTCTTTTGTAAGGTACCTTAAGATGATGTAATGGAAATATTTAAAGAAACTTGAGTTAATTAAAACTCATATTTTATGTAATTTATTAACAAGCATAGTGAAATGGATAAGGAAAGTGCAGGGTTAGGTGAAAACTGATAACATCTAATAGTTTACTTGAATAATTTCCAGAATAAGAGGCTTCATTTAACTCAGATGAAATACATATTATGACATAATTGTAATAAAACAGTCCAGTTTGAAAGTATTTAAAACATTTTAACATTATAAGGTTCGGCTGTGACTTTTAAGGAAAAAACAGAAAAAGACTGTTGTGTGTACTTTTATTTACAAACACTTAAATTGTACATGAAAAGTTCAGACACAAGCATGTGTGATTAAACAGCTCTAACCATTGACCCCGTCTTACCAAACCCTCAAGTTACAGTATAAAGGATTTTCTTAGTTGCTTTCCTTTTACAAATTGCACATCTCTCCACTTACTCGATGGTAATAATGTTTTTCATCAGCATTTTCTAAGTTTGCTTATACCTTGGACTGGTGCTGATCTATCTAAAAGGGAAGAAGTGATTTTGTAAAACTGTCAAAACTTCTTTATTTTGATAGAGAAGGAATTTATTACAGAAAAGCACAAGAATTAGCAAATATTTTAATATATATAAAGAGTTTCACAGATTCTGAATATTATTTCTAAGTAGGTTTTCCAAATATTGAAACTCAGATTTTAAAATTTAAAGGAAACATAGAAAGCCAAACCAACATGATCTGTATTGTACACAGGCACATAGAAATACAAAGTAAAGACGAGTTACAAACAAACAAAAAAAGGGATTCAGCAATGATTTGGGTCCAAAAGTCCCTAAGAGGAAAAGCTCACGTCCAATCAAGTTCTACCCTGAGGAGACGGGTTCTCTGGTGCTTTTATTCATAGGGCCGTGAAAGAAAACATGAAAAACTGAACAAAAACTACTTTAAAACCCCCCAAACCTCCCAGATGGACTCAGTGCTGGATCAGGTCCTGCTCTTAACGAGGTTTAGCTTTAAGTGCTGCGTCCACCTCTTCCTCAGGCATGAGGGTGTGCCACTGGGCTACTGGACGTCGAGGATTGGCAAGCATGTCCGACCAGTGGCGCAAGCCGACACCTGTAGCTCCATAGCCCATAAAGGTCTTCCCTATGGGGTCATTGCTTCCAAGTTTGTCATAGTCGTACACTGTGATGACAACCTGCACTTTCTGGAAAAATAAAGATAAAATAATGAAATCCTATCTTTCCTCTTTAAGATGAGAAACACTGTAAAGAAAGCAATAAGGCAAAGCCCACCTGTATTTGTTCAAAGGGGACTTCAAAGCTGAAGCTTTCATTAAAGTAGGGATTGAGGGTGTTTTTCTTTACTGTTGTTTTCTTTTTCTTAATCCGCTTCCCATTTTGTTGCAGAACGATCTTCACATAAGGATCTAAAAAAAGAGGGAGCATTATATAGTATATCATTTTGGGGTTTGCAGTTCCCCTCCAGGCTACAAAGTGAGAGAATATTGACAATATTGTCAAAATGGAGGAAAATTAGGCGTTTTGTTACCTGATAAACCACCAACATCCATTTTCTTGAGATTTTTTGCCTCCATGATGTTTACAGTCAGTTTTCCAGCAGTGGGTACATAGCGCAAGGAAATGCATATGTCTCCCAATTTTTCCTGAAGACAGAAAAAAATTGTCAGAATTTGTGGAAATAGTGTTTAAAGGAACAGCCCACATATTTTTCCTGATTTAAATTACAAGACTTTAGTTGCCACGGGCCTCTTGGTATGGAGGCTATATAAATTTTTCAAAAGTTAACGTATTAAACCCTCAATCAGATTATTCTTACAGCATAAAAGCCATATATATATATATATATATATATATATATATATATATATATCTGATAATTTTGGTATAAAATAAAAAAAGCCTGCAACCAAAGTCTCATGAAAGTTAAGCCTGTTTTAGGCCTCATCTATATCAAACATAACAGTAAACATTTATCTGAATAGTTGATAATACTGTTCTCACAAACACTCCACTGTACCTCTTCCTTCTCCCCGCTTTCTAAGTCCCTCCATTGTTGCATGGGCTGGCCCAGATCAACGCTGCTCATGGGAATCTTTATTTCACCGATCATGTCGTGTTTGGAGAAACGATCAAAGTCGAAAACCTGCAGAATCAAAATTTTTCCGCCCAACTCCGCGTACGGGATCTAAGAAGGAACAATGTTAAAACTTGATTTGAAATAGAGGAAAGCAGATGATTGTTTGCACACAACAAGTGACGAAGTTAAGCTACATTAACATTACTAGGATAGGAAAATCTTCACCCACATCAGTCCTGCAATAAGTTATGAATATAATATAACAGCAGAAGGAACTTTATCGATAAAATGTGGTCTGTGTTGAGGTACCTTGAAAATAAAAGTCTCGTTGAAAACAGGGCTCAGGTTTTTACGCTGAACTTTGGTCTCATATTTCTTCTTTTTGTCAGGAAGCAGAAAAACTTTGACATAGGGGTCTGAAGTCCCCCCCATGTCCATTGCAGCAAGGTCCTGAGCCTGAAGGATGCCCACTATGAGCTTTAAAAGAAAGAAAAAAACATGTTTAGTATGAAGTTACAGTGGAAAACTATCTGTTAATGAATCTTTGTGTTCTCATCGCAAATATAAAGTATTTTTAATGGATCCATCTGTTTACATGCAGTGCCTACCTGACAATCTGTGAAATTGTAATCCAAGGAGAACTCCAACTTGCCCAACTTCTCCTGTTCTTTCTCTTCCTCTTCTCCATCCTTTTTCCCATCTCCTTCCTGCAACATAAAACATGAGACAAGATTGATCACAAAGCAGTTTACCAAGTAAAATATCAACAGCCTAACATCAGTAAACCAACCTTTTCTCCTGACTCTCCATCACCATCCTTCTCCTTTCTGCGGCGACCCCCAGCCTTCCTCTCCCTCACTTTCTTCGGCTTTTTCTTCTTTGCAAAGCATTTTTTGAAAACACAGAAAATGAAGCATGCCACTAAAGCCAGGACCAGCACAACAATGGCTCCCACTGCCCACATTGGAACTGCAAAACAGGGGGGGATGAATTCATCCCATATTTACAACATGCAAGCAGACTGCAGTTCTAATAAAAATCAGTTTAAGGAATTTGAGTTGCTTTTTTAAGACATGTTGCTTTGTGATATATAAAATATATGTTTTTGGAGGAAAGAAATTAAGCTAAAAGCTTTTGTCTCATTCTTAAGGATTGTAAAAGCATGCAGTTATCTGTAGAGGGTTTGTTGAGCGTGTGTTTAGTTTGTTAACACCCTTCTCCACAATCAGATAATAATAACACTCCTCCAGCTGGGAGTGCCTCTGTATGAGCCTAATAAGTATAACTCAGCTCTTTACCACTGCAATCTAAGGCTTTACTGTTTTTCTAAGGCAAAACAAGACTTTGTTTTTGGTCCACTCTAAATACCTTGAACTCAACGCTATTTCTGATATTTTGAATTGAAAAAGCTTCCTAGATGGGAAGCGAAACATCTTCAGACTTGGAAACAAAGTCCCACTGGATTTTATTTTGTGTTTTTTGGATTTACTGTTTTTTTTTTTTTAGCAGAATACTCTTCAAAACACTATTTCATAAAAAAGCTGTGTTTAATGCAAAGATTGCATGCCCCTTAAACTTTTTAAATTTTTACAGTTTTTTTGTGTTTGTTCTGAATTTTGTTAGACTGGCCAATGCAAAAAAACAAAAAAACAAAAAAAAAAACAAATAACCATATAGAATAATTAGATGAAATTTCAAAATTCAGTTACATATAAAGCTATAACATGTGCATCATGCTTCGTAGTCAGCTTCTGAGGCATTTTCTAGTAGCATGACCTATGGTTACAGTTAGATTTTTAGATGTTCTAAAATACATCTCTAAAACACTTCAAATGCAAATTTAAATAAATAATTTCTTCTTAAAATAAGGGTATTTTTTTCCCTTAAATTGAGGAGCTAAGTGAGACACGTCACCAATAGAACAAGACAATTTACATTTAAAATATGAAAAA